CTCAACAAGGGCTGAGTTGTGGAGTCTTAACCACTGAACTGCCAGGGAAGTCCCTATAAACATTTTTTAATGTTAATTATTTTAATAAATAACTATGACTATAGTTTAAAAACTCAGTAAAGCTCAGTCTCATTCCCATCCCTTCTCTTCTTCAACTGATTCCACCCCTCACCTGCAAGTAATCACTGTTACTAGATTCTTAGAACCTTTCCAGAGTCTCTTTTTTCAAGTAAAAGTAAGTATAAATATGTATTGTTTTTACACCTTTTACATAGAAGTATATAGAAGATCTTAATTTTTATTTAGAAGCACTTGTTATTTCTCTTAGTGACTTCCAGACTTTATATCATGTTTAGGAAATTTTTTTTCCACTTTGAGATTGTAAAAATAAACAAGATTTTGTTCTGATATGGCTTATTTTTTAACATTTAAATCTTGAATTTCATCTAGAAAATTTTATTATAGAGATTAAGTAATGAAATAGCATTTATTGTGATTCTTCCTATTTGGCCCATTGTCTCATTGCAAGTATCAATTTGCCCCAGTTTGAAATGCCATCTTTATTATTGGGATGGCCAAAAGGCTCCTTCAATTTTTTTCTGTAAGATGGTTCTAGCAGCACTTAGTTGTCTTTAACTTTATTTGAAATAAGTTTGTTAGGTTGTATTGTGACAGCTGTCATATCAGCGTGCAGTTTTAAAAAAACTTACCAAGATTGGTGAATTTTTGTGTAACCATTTTAATACTGATCATGGAAGAAAAAGCAACATTTTCAGCATATTATGCTTTATTATTTCAAGAAAAGTATGAATGTATCTGAAACCTACAAAAAGCTTTGTACAACATATGGAAATGGTGCTGTGATTGATTGAACATGTCAAAAGTAGTTTGTGAAGTTTTGTGCTGTAGATTTCTCACTGGATGGTGCTCCATGGTCCAGTAGACCAGTTGAAGTTGATGGCGATCAAATCAAGACACTCACTGAGAGTAATCAATGTTATACCATGAGGGAGATAGCCAACATATTCAAAATCCAAATCAAGCATTGAAAATCATTCGTATCAGCTTGGTTATGTTTTGTTTTGGCTGCATTGGGTCTTAGTTGTGCTTCATTGCATCATATGGGATCTTCTGTTGTGGTGCATGGACTCTCTCATTGTGGTTCTCGGGCTCAGTTGCTCTGTGGCATGTGGGGTCTTAGTTCCCTGACCAGGGATCAAACCTGTGTCCCCTGCATTGCAAGGCAGATTCTTAACCACTGGACCACCAGGGAATTCCCCAGCTTGGTTATGTTAATTGCTTTAATGTTTGGGTTCCCATAAGTTAAGTGAAGGAAAACCTTCTTGACTGAAGAAAAACCTTCTTGACCATATTTCCACCTGGTTTCTCTACTGAAATTTAATGAAAATGTTCCATTTTTATTTATTTGTTTATTTATTTTTTATTAGTTGGAGGCTAATTACTTTACAATATTGTAGTGGTTTTTGTCATACATTGACATGAATCAGCCATGGATATACATGTATTCCCCATCCCGATCCCCCCTCCCACCTCCCTCTCCACCCGATCCCTCTGGGTCTTCCCAGTGCACCAGGCCCGAGCACTTGTCTCATGCATCCAACCTGGGCTGGTGATCTGTTTCACCCTAGATAATATACATGCTTCAATGCTGTTCTCTTGAAACATCCCACCCTCGCCTTCCCCCACAGAGTCCACAAGTCTGTTCTATACATCTGTGTCTCTTTTTCTGTTTTGCATATAGGGTTATCATTACCATCTTTCTAAATTCCATATGTATGTGTTAGTATACTGTAATGGTCTCAACATCCATTTATGATTAAAACTCTCCAGAAAGCAGGAATAGAAGGAACATACCTCAACATAATAAAAGCTATATATGACAAACCCACAGCAAGCATTACCCTCAGTGGTGAAAAATTGAAAGCATTTCCCCTAAAATCAGGAACAAGACAAGGGTGCCCACTCTCACCATTCCTATTCAACATAGTTTTGGAAGTGTTGGCCACAGCAATCAGGGCAGAAAAAGAAGTAAAAGGAATCCAGATAGGAAAAGAAGAAGTGAAACTCTCTCGCTGTTTGCAGATGACATGATCCTCTACATAGAAAACCCTAAAGACTCTACCAGAAAATTACTAGAGCTAATCAACGAATATAGTAAAGTTGCAGGATATAAAATTAACACACAGAAATCTCTTGCATTCCTATGCACTAACAATGAGAAAACAGAAAGAGAAATTAAGGAAACAGTACCATTCACCATTGCAACAAAAAGAATAAAATACTTAGGAGTATATCTATCTAAAGAAACAAAAGACTTATACATAGAAAACTATAAATCACTGATGAAAGAAATCAAAGAGGACACAAACAGATGGAGAAATATACCATGAAAATGTTCCATTTTTAAAACAAATTGTGACAAATGATGAAAATTGGATACTGTGTAATGATGTGGAACAGAAGTGATCATGGGGCAAGTGAAATGAACCATCACCAACTACACCAAAGACTGGTTTTCATCTAAAGAAGGTGATGTGTATTTGGTGGATTTGAAGGGAGTCCTCTATTACAGGTTCCTTCCAGAAAAATGATTAATTCCAAGTACTGCTCCCAGTTAGACCAACTGTACTCTGACAAAAAGCGTCTGGAATTAGTCAGTAGGAAACACGTAATCTTCTGTTAGGATAATACAAGACCACGTATTTCTTTGATGACCAGGCAAAAACTATTACAACTTGGCGGGAAGTTCTGAGGCATCCACTGTATTCAGCAGACATTGCACCTCTGGATGTCTGTTTGTTTTGATCTTTACATAATTCTCTTAGTGGGAAAATATTTCAATTCCCTGGAAGGTAAAGGGCACCTGGAACAGTTCTTTAGTCAAAGAGATAAGTTTTGGGAAGGACTTCCCTGGTGGTGCAGTGGATAAGAATCCACCTGCCAATGTAGGAGACACGGGTTCGATCCCTGTTCTGGGTAGACCCCACATGCCCTTGGAGCAGCCAAACCTGTGTGCCACAGCTACAGAGCCCACTCTCTTTGGCCTGCGAGCCACAACTACTGAGCCCCTGTGCTGCCGCGACTGAAGCCCGCTAGCCTGGAACAGTGCTCCCCAGGACAAGAGAAGCCCACCGCAATGAAAAGCCCAGGCACTGCAACAAAGAGTAGCTCCCGCTCACTGCAGCTGGAGAAAGCACACGCGTAGCAACGAAGACCTAGCACTGCCAAAAACAAGTAAATAAATCTTTAAAGTTTTGGGAAGATGAAATTAGGAAGTTACCTGAAAAATGGGAGAAGGTAGTGGAACAAAATGGTAAATACATTGTTCAATAAAGTTGTTGGTGAAATTGAAAATCGTGTTTTTTATTTTTACTTAAAAAGTTAAAGGAACATTTTGGCCAACTCAGTACAACCTCTGTCTAGTCTCACGTCTTTTTCTGGACTGTCTTCTCTTCCACTGATCTGTTTGCTTATTCTTGTGCCAAAACAAGTTTTAATTAACTTTAGCTTTTAAGTGTATTTGGTATCTGATGTATATCTATTTTCATATTTTCAAATGTTCTTAAATATTTTCTCTTTCAGATGATCTTCCTCCTCCACCCCTCAAATGAACTATTGAATCAGTTTGTGCTTCCCTACCCACCAAAAAGTTGGGCTGATTTTTATTGGAATTCTTACCCATCTATAGATCCTTTGGAATATTTCCCCATGTCTTCTCTATCCTTAAGTAAAGCAATTTGATTTTGCTAAAAAATTTTATTAGGCTTATTCTTGGATATCTTATAGTTTTATTGATATCACAATTAGGATCTTTTTTAAAGTTATGTTTCTAATTAGTTCTTGCTATTGTATAGAAAACTCATTGGTATAGAAAATGTATTGATTTTTGTTCATTACTTAGCTAGCTCTTTCATTGTTTCATAGACTGCTTTGGATTTTCTAAGTAGATAGTCTCATGATTTGTATTGATAAATAGTAGCAATCTCTTTCTTTCTTCAAAATGGAAACCTGTTTCTTTTTTTTCTCTTAAATTATTTTGGCTAGAATGCCATTTTTCTCTTGAATTATTTTGGCTAGAATTCCAAGAAGAATGTCAATAGAGATGATGGAACCTCTCTCACCTTCTGAGATGACCCCACTCTCTGTGGAGTGTGTTGCTTTCTAAATATATCTGATTCTTACCTATCCAAGAAAAAAAAGGGAGATGATGGGCATCTTCCTGATCTTTAATGGGAAGGCTCCTGAAATGATCCTAGCTGAAATACCTTCCTTCTTGAACTTTGTCTTCTCTTGTATTCTGGAGTAGTGTCCACTCCTTCTCTGTACCCTTTTCCCCACCTCCAACCATCAAATTATGGCATTCCTCAAGCCTCCTACTCTCTCTTCTCATGCAGCACATGTCTTGGTGATCCATATACATTTCAGATTGCAGTCACCTTGTGCCAGTTTGTAATTTCAGTTACCTCCTATGAGTCAAGCATTCACAGATTGGCATCTGGAGCCCACGACTCGCCCAGCTCTGGGCTCACTAACGAGCTCCTCTTGGATTTCTTCCAGGCAGTGTTCACTCAGTACCTCTAAAATTGAGTTCATCATCAACAGGCTGGAGCCCTGGGTATGAGGCCCATAACCAGATTCAGTGTTAAGAACCAGAAATAGAAGAAAGGCTGCCTAAGCTGAGAGGGCCCCCTGCAGAGTCTTATTTTCTGCCAATGGAGACCAAGCCAACCGCCTCACCCTAGTCCCACCTCACTCTGTGCTCTGCCTACTGGCCACATAGCCTGCCCTCCCAACACCCTCTGCTTCCTCACCTGCTGTCCCTAGGATGCCCCACACAGTTTCTAGTCCTCACCCTCCTCCTCTCCCCTGAGGGGACCTGTGGAGGTCAGTTGGAAGCATTAGGGGGCTCCTCTGGTGCTCACTCCATGTGGATGCAGGGTCGTGACGAGACTGAGCTCTGCTTGTCTCTGTGTGGGCAGGAAATATGAGCTGTATAGCATGGACTGGGACCTGAAGGAGGAACTGAGGGACTGCCTCGTGGCTGCTGCACCCTATGGGGGCCCCATTGGTAAGTCACCCCTCTGCCACTGCATGGTTTGGGACCATGGGATGAACTCAGGGTCCTTGTTTCCTGGGGGTCTTGCTGTTGAGTGGTTCTTGCTGGCCTATGCTACCCACCCTCACCCCACCTTACTGAGATGTTTTTAATTGTGGTTCTTATGAGGCCTGCCACATGTGGTATGGGCCTTTGGAACTAGTTCATAGGCCTGCTTGGCATGGAGTGGGCCTGGGCAACTAGGACAGAAGGTTTCTGCTCAAACCACAGCACTGCTGAGGAACCCCTGGAGGAAGGAGAAGCCCGCTAGTGCCCGGCCAGTTCTCGAGATCTACTCAGCTTCCGGGGTGCCTCTGGCCAGTCTGTTGGTGAGCACCCTGCCTTCCCTGTGGCTGGGGGCTTTATAGGATTCTGCATCCTGAGGACAGCCTCTGGAGCCTCTCTCTCATCTGCAGTGGAAGAGTGGGCCCGTGGTGTCCCTGGGCTGGTCAGCTGAGGAGGAGCTGCTCTGCGTGCAGGAAGACGGAGTTGTGCTGGTTTACGGGCTACACGGTGACTTCCGGAGACACTTCAGCATGGGCAATGTAGGGGGCCCCGGGGGCTGGGGGAAAGGGATGGAGTCTGGGACTCTCTCACTCCCTCAACCTACGACCCCTCTCTCCAGGAGGTGCTCCAGAACCGGGTTCTGGATGCCCGGATCTTCCATACTGAGTTTGGTTCTGGGGTGGCCATCCTCACAGGAGCCCACCGCTTCACCCTCAGTGCCAACGTGGGTGACCTCAAACTCCGCCGGATGCCAGAGGTGCCAGGTGAGCCCTGATACCCCTGGAGCAGCATTCACTGCCCACAAATGTGCCTCCTGTCCATGGGACCATCAGAGGCAGAAACTGTGGGCTCTGGGCGGTCTCAGGTTGTCCTTTTCCATTATGCCATAGGTCTGCAGAGTGCACCCTCATGCTGGACCGCACTGTGCCAGGACCGAGTGGCACACATTCTCCTGGCTGTAGGACCTGATCTTTACCTCCTGGACCATGCAGCCTGCTCTGCGGTGGTGAGGAGCCTTGGTTGGGAGTGAACCGGAGGGACTGGGGGAGCTAGTGGGAGACCCTTAAAAGTCTGTCTGGTGTTCCCCCTGGCCCTGCCCCAGACACCCCCTGGCCTGGCCCCAGGAGTGAGCAGCTTCCTGCAGATGGCTGTCTCCTTCACCTACAGACACCTGGCGCTCTTCACAGACACAGGCTACATCTGGATGGGGACAGCATCTCTCAAGGTATAGGGCATCTCTCAGAGCACTGTGCCTTGTCTAGGAAAGATGTGTGGGGCATAGGGGAAGGACTTTTCAACCATACTGGTGATGGCTGGGATAGGGCCATGACATTCCCTGCACTCTTTCAGGAGAAGCTGTGTGAGTTCAACTGCAACATCCGGGCCCCCCCGAAGCAGATGGTCTGGTGAGGATGGGTGAGGGGGGGTGTTCTCATGGGAGTGGACATGCACATAGCCTTGTCTCCTGATTCATCCTGTCTACTGACCAGAACAAACAGAGTTTGAATCTCGTCTTCCGTGCTAGTGCACATTTCAGGGAAACCCCAGTTCCCAGTGGGCCCCAGTGTTCCAGGAAGCTGACGGGCACAAGGAGAGAGGGAAGCAAATAAGTCAGCCAGAGAAGTGAAATAAAGGGCAGCAAGCCTATGCAGAGTTCCCCAAGGCAGAGTGATACAGACAGTGATGTGGGGACATGACTGTGGGCCAGGCATCCTGTGTGTTAATCCCAGATGTGTGTGTGCACTCAGGTGCAGCCGTCCACGCAGCAAGGAGAAGGCCGTTGTGGTGGCCTGGGAGAGGCGGCTGATGGTGGTGGGCGACGCACCGGAGAGCATCCAGTATCCTTGGAGGGCTGCCGGGGGGTAGGGGAGGGGCCCGCCCTGCCGCATCCCTCGTTACTCTTAGGGGCCTTGACCGCACTCAGGTTTGTGCTGGATGAGGATTCCCACCTGGTGCCTGAGTTGGACGGGGTCCGAGTCTTCTCCCGCAGTACCCACGAGTTCCTGCACGAGGTTCCAGGTGAGGTCCTCATAAGAGCACTGAGTGACCGGGTCAGGGGCTTCTCAGCACCACAGCTGCCGGACCAGTGCCCCAGAGCAGAATCAGGCCTCTGAGGCAGGGCTGAGGATTTCCTGGCACCCCCACCCCGCCCCCGTCTCCCACTTACCGTTTTCCTCCCCCAGTGGCCAGTGAGGAGATCTTTAAAATTGCCTCGATGGCCCCTGGAGCACTGTTGTTGGAGGCTCAGAAGGAATATGAGGTAAAGCCCTGGGCCTTTCCTGGGGCCCCAAGCCACTTGCCTTCCCCTTCCCCTAATTGACCCAGCCCCTGTTTCTGCAGCCAAGTGCTACCTTTCAAGACAGGGGTTCAGGCTGGGCCGGGCTGGGCTAGAGAGAGCCGGCTCAGTTGGACTGAAGGGACTTGGTGTCTTCTGAGTGGTGGTAGGGAGGGCCAGGGAGCCCTTCCAGTCTAGTCACAAATCAGGGCTCTGTCAAAGAGATCTCAGGGCCTCAGAGAACTGCACTGACTGGGGGTGTGTGCGGACACCTGGGGTGGTGGGCTGAGGGGATTTGCGCTCCGGCCTCTGCAACCTTCCAAACCTGCCACCACAGCCCAAGGGGTTGGGAGCCAGACTTAGAGGTGTTCTTGGTCATGACGCACTGTCCCTGGCACTTTCCCTCCACCACAGAAAGAGAGCCAGAAGGCGGATGAGTACCTGCGGGAGATCCAGGAGCTGGGGCAGCTGCCGCAGGCTGTGCAGCAGTGCATCGAGGCTGCAGGACACGAGCACTGGCCAGACATGCAGAAGAGTCTGCTCAGGGTTGGCCTGGGTGGCAGGGCTGGAGGGAGGGCAGGGTTTGGCTGGCAGAGGGGACAGCCTTCCATTGCTCTCTGGCTCTTTTCAGGCGGCCTCCTTCGGAAAGTGTTTCCTGGACAGATTTCCACCTGACAGCTTTGTGCGCATGTGTCAGGACCTTCGTGTACTCAATGCCGTTCGGGACTATCACATTGGAATCCCCCTCACCTATAGCCAGTATCCTCAAGTGTGCTGACAGGGTGTTTACTTCCAGGGGTGGAAGGGCAAGGGGATGGAGATGCCACCTAAAGGTCCTAAAGGCAAACAGGACTTACCTCCCAGCTGGATCCTTAACTCAATGAAATACAGATACAAGCAACTCACTATCCAGGTGTTGCTAGACAGGTACAGCAAGCCCAAGGGTGCTGGGCAGAGGGCTGTAGGTGGGCGGACATTACAGCCCCTGCTGTGCTCTTGTGGTCACTGCTCGTGATCTGTTTCCTTGGGATCGGGGAGGCTGGGTTACAGGCTGGGGCCATTCTGTCCTCTCTCTACCCCACTTTATCCTCTGTGCCCTTTACCTCCCTTGTCTGCCAGGCTTGTGTTGCGGAGGCTTTACCCGCTGGCCATTCAGATATGTGAGTACCTGCGGCTTCCTGAAGTGCAGGGTGTCAGCAGAATCCTGGCCCACTGGGCCTGCTACAAGGTGAGGATATAGAACAGAGTCCAAGGGCAATTCAGGGTTTACAGGCCATGGTGAGGTGTAGGAAATAAGTGTAGGCTGAAAGAGTGGGTCTTGATCAGGGCAGCAGGGGTCGGGGTTAAGGGGTGAGAGCCAGATTGGTGACACTTCCTTCCTTCTCCAGGTACAACAGAAGGATGTGTCTGACGAGGATGTTGCTCGGGCCATTAATCAGAAGCTGGGGGACACGCCTGGTGTCTCCTACTCTGACATTGCTGCACGAGCCTATGGCTGTGGCCGCACGGAGCTGGCCATCAAGGTGTGGGCGCTTAGCCCTCCCTGGATGCTCTGATGTGGGTGTTAGAGGCCCCCAGGCCAGCTCCTCCTCTCTGTGCCTTCCTCCCCATCCCACAGCTGCTGGAATACGAGCCACGCTCTGGGGAGCAAGTTCCCCTTCTCCTGAAGATGAAGAGGAGCAAACTGGCCCTGAGCAAGGCCATCGAGAGTGGGGATACTGATCTGGGTGAGCAGGGCTTGGGTGAGGACGAGCCTGGGGACCCTGGGCTCGGTGAGGGCTGGGCTGAAGCCCCGTCCCACCTTATCGTCCCACAGTGTTCACAGTGCTGCTGCACCTGAAGAATGAGCTGAACCGAGGAGATTTTTTCATGACGCTTCGGAACCAACCTATGGCCTTAAGTTTGTACCGACAGGTGTGTGCAGGGGCCAGGTGGGGTGGAGCCTGTGGAGCCCCCAAGTTGGCCTTGCTGACTGCCCACCTGCTGTCCCCAGTTCTGTAAGCATCAGGAGCTGGAGACGCTGAAGGACCTTTACAACCAGGATGACAACCACCAGGAGCTGGGCAGCTTCCACATCCGAGCCAGCTATGCTGCAGAGGAGGTCTGAGGGCCACAGGGCAGGTGGGGCCCACCTACTGGGCCATTGGTCTGGCTCCTTCTCCAGGAGTCTAGGCCCTGAATGTGCCACACACCCCATTTGATCCTCATTGTGGAGGGAGAGCTTGAGATGTGAGGCGCCACGAGTTGGTCCCAGAGGAACCAGTCATTCCCATTAGGGACACCAGCTCAGTGCTCCCAGCAGGAAAAGCTGGCACTGGTGACCCTAGGCACAGGGATTGGGGAGAAAGCTGCAGCCTGAGTGGTGATGGCCGAGGTTCCTGTGCTATGAGCGCCCTTTTGGCCTTTGCAGCGAATTGAGGGGCGAGTCGCGGCTCTACAGACGGCAGCCGACGCCTTCTACAAGGCCAAGAATGAGTTTGCAGCCAAGGTTTGGCCCATTCTCTAAGAACCTCCTCTCCTTACTTCCCAGTCTTCCTTCCTTGTCCCTCTCATCCCTGTCCCACCGTATCTCTGTTCCCAGGCTACAGAGGATCAGATGCGGCTCCTACGGCTGCAGCGGCGCCTAGAAGATGAGCTCGGGGGCCGGTTCTTAGACCTGTCTCTACATGACACGGTCACCACCCTCATTCTCAGTGGCCAAAACAAGCGCGCAGAGCAGCTGGCACGTGACTTTCGCATCCCTGACAAGAGGTAGTTGAGGGCCTAATCTGCATGTAGGTCCCGGGACCCCCTGCCCCTCCTGCAATGCCTCCATGCCCAGCTTTCCCACAGGCTCTGGTGGCTGAAGCTGACTGCCCTGGCAGATTTGGAAGACTGGGAAGAGCTAGAGAAGTTTTCTAAGAGCAAGAAATCACCCATTGGCTACCTGGTGAGGTGGGGCCCTCCCTCCAGCCCATCTCCAGTGAGGCAGTGCTGGGGAAACGTCCAGACTCCAGTGGTTTGTTCACACATCTGCTCAGCTATCCCACAGGACTGGTGGGCACATTTCTGAGTCAGGCACAGGGGAGGATGGGCCCAAGTCTGCCTGCAAATGTCAGAGGAAAGGAGACTGAGCTGCTTTTCCCCAAGGAGGGCCACAGGGGACACTAGTGCCTGAAGGAAAGTCCTGTTGGCGGGGAGGAAGGGGCATAGGGAGAGTACATTTGCAAAGCAGTGGAGGATGTTGAGCGGTTTGTTTTCTGTAGCAGGCAGTTCAGAGGTGTGGTAGGTTGGTCAAGTAAGGGCAGCCATAAACTGCCCAAAACTCAGGCCCTGGGAAGGCAGGAGATGCCTGCTGTGAGGGGTAACTGGATGGTGGCATGGATGCATGGAAATAATTGATCTCAAAGCTCTAATAGAGCTTGGGGTAGGTTGTTTTCACCCAAAGAATTTTGAGACTACAACTGTTGTATGTGTGTGGGGTAGGAATCGGGGGGATTATATAGACAGAGGGTATATAAGATACATTGGGATAATGTATCCACTAGGCTTTTGCTCATGGACAGAGGAACTTTTGAGAGCTATGGTCCATAGGGTCACAAAGAGTCAGATACAATTGATGTGGCTTCACACACAGGCTTTGCTCATAAAAGGGAACAGGAGGGTTTTACCTGATCTCTTTCTACCCTCTTCTAAGCCCTTTGTGGAGATCTGCATGAAGCAACACAATAAATATGAGGCCAAGAAGTATGCTTCCCGCGTGGGTCCCGAGCAGAAGGTCAAGGCCTTGCTTCTCGTTGGGTGCGTCTGCTGAGAGCCCTGGGGTGCTGGGTGGCAGAGCCAGTGGGCTGATGAGAGGCACAATTTGTGCCCTTGGGCAGCTCAACACTATCTCCCCTTCTGCTCAAACTGTAGGGACATGGCTCAGGCTGCGGACGTTGCCATTGAGCACCGGAATGAGGCAGAGATGAGCCTTGTATTGTCCCACTGCACTGGAGCCACAGATGGGGCCACAGCCGACAAGATTCAGCGGGCCCGGGCACAAGCCCAGAAGAAATGAGGGGCCTACCTGCTCATCTAGCTCTTCCCACAGAGCAAAACCCAAAAACCTGGGGTGGGAGCCAGGGTTCTGGTTGTAAATAAAGTTGAAACATTTTATAGCAGCAGTCCCCAACCTTTTTGGTACCGAGAACTGGTTTCATGGAAGACCATTTTTCTACAGGCTGGGGGTGAGAGGGGATGTTTTCATGATGATTCAAGCGCATTACCTTTTCTTAAATTTATTTTTTGGCTTCACTGAGTCTTTATGGCTGTGCGTGGGCTTTCTCTAGTTGCAGCGAGTGGGGGCTACTCTTCGTCGTGGTACTTGGGCTTCTCATCATGGTGGCTTCTCTCTTTGTGGAGCATGGGCTCTAGAGTAAGGGTTTCAGCAGTTGTGGCGCACGGGCTTAATTGCTCTGCAGAATGTGGGATCTTCCTGGACCAGGGATTGAATTTGTGTTCCCTGCATTGGCAGGCAGATCCTTAACCATTGGACCACCAGGGATGTCCTTCAAACGAGTTACATTTACCGTGTACTTTATTTCTAATCTGATGCCACTTCTGATCTGACAGGAGGTACCAGTCTATGGCCTGCAAGTTGGGGACCCCTGTTTTAGAGCACTTGTTTTACGCAGTCCAGTCTAAGCAAAAACATCTTGGAGGCAGAACCATCCAGATACCTCAGCAGAACTTCATGTGTTTGATTGTGGGGGTCTGGAGAGAGAGCTTCTCCAGTGATATTCACAGATCCCTCTCTACAGTTACCAGGCAAAGTCCTCTCAAACTCACAGCCCCTAGGAAGATCATGGGGAGTGATAGCACACATGATAAGCACCACACTGAAAGCATTACCCACACATGCACACATGATATAAGCTCAACACTTTACCTTGCTTTCATTTATTCTATAAGACCACCCTATGAGATAGGTAATCCTGCCCCATCTTACAGAAGAGGATTGAGGACTGGGGAGCAACTAGGGGGCAAGACTGGGATTTGAAACCATATTGGACATTTGGAGATGTTAGAGCTTCTCCTTGGCTGTTGTGACAGAGGAGGGATGACTCAGCCAGACCAGAAGCCGGGCCCTCTGAGCAGAGGCTCCTGAGGCAAGGCCCCTGGTTTGCCCTACAGTGAGGACTGGAGGGCGGATGAGAAGCATGTGGCCATTGGGTTGGAGGGATCAAGAAGGAGCCTTTGGAAACCCTGCCCACTGAGTAGTGGTCAGCAATTCCTAAATGGTCACTGGACTGAGGAGAAAGAATGGAATTCTCCCTTTGGCAATTCTGCCAAGGAAGAACTGCAAACTGGAGACCCCTGGCTCCCCAGTCAGCTCTGTGGAGGCCTTCCCTACAGTCAGTGAGAATGCCTTCACGGCCCTCCAGGCTCCCTGCCTCTAGCATCTGCACTCCAGTGCACTTTGGCTTCATACCCCAGCAGCATTACCCAGCACTGAGGGCATTACCTTTCTTCTGTTGCCCTCATTAGTCTAGATGGAAGACGAAGGAGGAAACCAAAGCCGAGAGAAGCCAGACCTCCCTGGAACTTTTGATTTTCCCCTCTTGACACCCCTAGGGCTGTGTTTAAAAAGAGTGAGACTCAAGCTTGGTAAGATGTTTCTTTTTCCTCCCCTACCTAATTGTAAGTTTGTGAAAATCCCACATGCACAGGAGCTAAGTCGCTTCAGTCGTGTCCAACTCTTTGCGACCCTTGGACTATAGCCTGCCAGGCTCCTCTGTCAGGATTCTTGGGGATATAAATCAAATTGTAAAAGAATCATTTGTTATACTCACCACTTAGAGAATTTGAACAGGATAAAACAGAATGGTTTGTCTGCTCCACAATGTCTAGGGCATTAGCTGGAAGACTGAAAGTATGGGGGTGACTTGACAGCTAGGAACTGGAATCTGAAGGCTCGGCAACTCACGTCTGGCAATTGAAGCTGGTTGTTGACTGGAACCTTAGTTCTGTCAGCCAGAACACCTGCCTCAAACACCAGCAGCCAGGTCCCAAAGGCAGCATCCGAGAAGAGCCAGGTAGAGTTGTACTGTCTTTGCTAACATGGTTTTCGAAGTCATAGTATCATATCTGTCATATTCTGTTTGTCAAGGCAGTTATATGGGCCTGCCTCACCCAGTTTCAAGGGGAAATAGATTCTGCCTCTAGATAGAGGAGTAGCAAGGCTCTGGAAGAGTATGTAGAACTGGAAATGTGGCCAGTTTGGGGAAACACAATCTGCACAGTATATCAGCCTTCTCTCAGAATCAGCAGACCCCTCTAGGGAAAGGACGAGATTTCCAATACTGAGGTCATTCTGGGATTTTTGTTTCCTTCTCAGTCTTGGCACAACACTTCCTCCCTGCCCTGGTACCTCTTCACTGCTTTTTTTAATCCATGCCACGTGGCATGTGGGATTCGAACCTATGCCCCCTACGGTGGAAGCACAGAGTTCTAACCACTGGACAGCTGGAAATACCCTTCAATGCCTTTAACAAATATTTTCTCCAGCTTTTCTAAGTAGAAAAAGGGCTGGAACCATCAAACTCAGTCCTCTTTTTCTGGAAGGGAGGCCCTGGGCAGTGCATTTAGAAGCTACACAGTGAAAGCCTATGTTAGGACTTTGCTGGCTGTCCAGTGGTCAAGAATCTGCCTTGCAATGCAAGGGATGAGGATTTGATCCCCGGTCAGGGAAATAAGATCCTACATGGCGTGGAGCAACTAAGCCTGTGCATCACAACTACTGAGCCCGCATGCTCCAGAGCTGGAGCACCACAACTAGGGTCCTTGCATAGCACGAAAGATCCCGCATGACACAAGGAAGGAAGATGCTGTGTGCCACAACTAAGACCCAATGCAGCCAAATAAAATAAAAATAAAACTCAGCCTGCATTAGAAAAAAGTCTATGTCCCCAAACATGCAGCATATTAATGTGCAGTGTGCAAACATTAAGCATTGTACACGTGAAGTTTTAGAAATACATGAGAAATAACTATGATGACTGTATAAACTGATTACAACTTTATAAAAAGTGTGTATGCATGTGGAGGAGCACTGGTATTGTCCATGAGGAGACTTGTTTGAAAATTAAAAGCAGTTTTGTAGATTTTCTTATAAAGTTAAACCTGATTCTCCCCCACCAACATTTTATCCTGAAAACTTTCAAACATACAACTAAATTGAAAGAATTTACAGTGAACACCTGTATACCCACCACTTAGATTCTACAATTAAAATTTTACTATGCTTAATTTTCATATATCTGTCTATTCCTCTATCCATTTTATTAATTCATGTTATTTTTGACAAATTTCAAAGATGCAGTCATTAGTACTTCCCTCTAAATACTTCAGAATGCATTTTGTTAACTAGAGTACATTATCTGTGTGCAATTTTTTTCTTTTCAGACCAAAAATATATAGTTCTCATCTCATAAATGTACATTTGCTGAGTTTTGATATATCTATACACTTATGAATGGTTGTGGTGGGGGGTGGTCAGTCACACCATTTGGCATGTGGAATCTTAGTTCCTTCAGCAGGGATCAAAGCCACGCTCCCTTCCGGGAAGTCTCTAAATAGTGATTTTTTTTATTTAAAAAGGGAAACTAGTTCAAGCCTCACCTGCAATACAAAAATAACTAGGACTCATTTTTTCAAATCTTGGTTTCTTTATGCTTGGTGTAAAAATGCCTCCTCTACCCTGAGCAGTTTGCACAGCAGGCCTGGGCCTGACTCACAGGAAGAGTCATCTTGGCCAATGGATGGAACTAGAATTGAGCCTTGGACCAGGATTTGGGGCCTGAGGGTAGTGAATCTGGAAACATTTCTACTGCTTTAGGATATCAATGGCAGTCCTGAAGTGGAAATTGGGGCAAAGGCTCCTGTAAGCCACCTTCTCAGGGTGAGGGGGGCTGCAGTTTCTTTAGGTACTGAACTCCAGCGAATGGCCTGCTAAGTTCCTAGGCTCTTATTTACTTCAACTTTCTATCATACTGTCCTGCTTTATTTTCATTACTGCATTTAGGAAACTTTCTTGTTCACTTGTTTATTGTCTGTCTCCCCATCTAGACTGTAAGTTCCTAAGAGCAGAGACCTTTTCTATCTTACTCCCTGGCTGTGTCCAGCACACCATCAGCACTCAAAAAGTATTTGTTGAGAGAATGATTAATTGTTCCATTGACTAGATGGGGATAGGAGGCCATGAGAGGAGAAGTGACTTGCCTAAAGAAACAGGAATCCTTTACTCCCTCCCTCCAGCACTCCTTTTAGTCCAGTCCTCCTCTCATGAAACCTGTGACTTTTGGGGCATCTGTGTGATGACTGACAAGTGCCTACCACTAGGTGTGTGCTCCTGTGGGCTGGGACAAAAGCAGCATCTGGAGCAGAAGCCTGCTTCCCTGGCCTCTCTCAGTTCCTCTCTTCTCTTTGAAGATGGCCTTTGCCTTGTGGTGATGGGGGTCGGGGTAGGGGGGTGCTGTGGATACCCTGAGCATCAGGTAGGATGGGGAATATGGACAGGTCTCCACAGCTGGGCAGCTGAGGATAGGACTCTGTCCTCTCTCATTGAAAATAGGGTATGTGTGGTCACCAAACTGAAATTTCCTTCTCAGGGTCTCCAGGATGGAATATGCAAGGCTCCTTGGTGTGAGGTCCTGTTACCTCTGCACACACCCCACACATGCTCTGACCCCACTGCAGCTGTCTCCTGGAGAGAAGGAACTGCATTTCCTAAGAATGGGCTACTTGCCAAGCTGTACATGCCTGTAATTCTTCATGCAGCCTTGGGAGGTTCCAGGAAGAGTAGCAGAGGGGGACTCAGGTCAAGCAACCAGTGGCAGGGCTTGAACTTCAGGACTCAACCACAGCATTTTCCCATGTGTGGTCAGATTAGGTGGGGATCTTTCAGATGATCCCAAGGATGAATGCTTTTTGTTATAATAGCTATTTATTTCCATATAGATTAGGAAATATAAGTAGCACGTCAAACCCTTTTATGAGACTGTCCAAGTGTCTCCAGCACTCAATCATTATTTTCCCCAAGTTCAGGCTATTTCACTTTTGCGTTCAGTGTGTGGATAGAGTGAGTTTTTCTACTTCCTGGGTAACTGAACGGTTGGTGTATAGAAGGTCCTGCTCTCCTTGGCTGCCCTTAGGCTCTAACAGGAGAGTTGGTGTGTGGGTCTTTCAGCTGTAGGATCTGTCCCTCAGAGACGTCTAGGATTCAGTCATTTCACACCTCTGGGTCAGCCCTGCTGAGAGGTAGTGGGAGATACACCTCCCTCTCAAGGAGGGACTTTCCAGCAGCAGAGGGGATGCCTCGAAAGAGGCCCGCTGCACCCCATATTCCCAGGCCATGGCTCTGGTCACCACACACTGATTCTACAAATACGGGCAGCAGGGTGCATACAGTCCCAAACTGACGCCCCAACTGCTGGCGGTGGTAAGGACTGGAGGTGCTAGAGGCACCAGCCTTGTGGAAATGGCAGATCATGTGGGCTCCTTCTCCTTTGCTGAAATGTCCCCTCCAAGAAAAAGGATTACTACCAGGAACAGACCCTTCCCTCGGGAGCGCTGAACGTGGGACTCTGCCCAGCCACGGATGGGAGAGGGGGGCTGGCCGCCGTTCACTCCTGGCAGCTCAGGCTGCGGGTCAGGAGTGAAGGATCTCCCAGGAAGCTGTGCTTGCACACTGCTGAGCAATGTCTCCCGCCTACGGACTTATGGTCACTCCTGAGCGGGTCAGGCTGCGTCCGAGGGACCCTGCCTGAGGACTACAATCTGGGGTGTCTCACTCGCCATCCACCACTACTGTGTAATCTGCCTTCGGAGATTCCTTAAGTCCTGCAGCCTGGGAAGCCACTTGCTGGGCATACCCACGGATGGCTTTGAGGTGCTCACGCGCGGGGGAGAGCGCTGGGGAGAAGATCCGCGCCTCCCACCGGGTCCCAGTCCCCGACCCCAGCGGGAGACGCGTCTCCAGGTCCGCTCGGAGCTTTGAGCCTCTTTCCCGGCCAGATCTGTCGCAAACACCCTCCGCAGAGCACCGTGTTGTAGTGTTTCTACCCAGCTCGACGCGAGTCAGGCCCGGATACGCGCATCTGGAAAGCCGCGGAGATTTCCCTTGGGCTCGGGTGGGGATGGCGTGGGCTGACTTGTTAAGATGACAGCCACGGTGCTAGGCGTCTTCCAGGGGCTATGCACGTTCCTCTCCTTCACCACCGAGAGCCTCTGTCTTTTAAATACATTGCAGCAATTAAAAGGCGGAGGGAGGGGGTAGTTCTAGGGAACCCGTTTGGAGAGAGTGGAAAGATTTTTGAGCTCCAGTTCTCCCCGATCGCTAAACACTGGTGTAACTTGTGTTTGGTCTCAGTTTTCGCATCTGTAAACTGGGAAGAAGACCTACTTCCAGGTGGGACTGTAGAGAAACGGAAGGTGTTGGTGCACAGTCGGCCGGTGCTCCCAGGGTCCTGTTTCCCCCAGGATTGGACCGCGGTGGGGGGACCGCCTCCCTGGCGGTCAGTGAGACCGTGAGACAGAGACCCGGGCCTGAGCCCCAGGCCGGCAGGCTAGCGAGCTTTCGAGGCGCGTAAGGGCGGGGCCCACGAGGGCCAGGGGAACGCCCGTTCGATCTGGGCCAACCAGCGCCCGTCTCTGAACCGCCAATGAGGAAGCTCCTTACAGCCAAGGCCGGGTCGGGAGCGAGGCTGCTGCGAGTGCGGCGCTGACAGAGACGCGCGCGCGCGACCCAGCTCGGACCCCGGACCGCCGCCGCCATCACCGCCGCCTGCCCAGTTGCTCTTCAGCCGCTTCTCGCCATGGAGGCGAGGCCGCCACCGCCGCCGCGGGGTTCCGAGCCGCGGGCCGGGCGGTGGCCCTGAGGGCGTGTGGCGGGCCGAGACGCCGTCGCGGCACCGAGGCGGAGCCGCAGTCCTCGACCCCAGCGGTCCCGCCCAACGCTGGACTCGGTGAGTGTTCACGGCCGCCGCCGCCCCGACGGGCTCCGGAGGTGGGGCGGCGGTTCCCGGGCGCTGGTGGGAGGGGTCCCCGGCTTGAGCCCAAATCCCTCTTTTCCGGGCAGGATCCATCCGGCTTCTCCAGGGATTCCACATCCTTGCGCTGTCCATGGGGCTGGGGCGGGGGAGGGGGAGAGTCCCCGGAAACGCGCCGGCCCAGGGGCCGACCCCGCTCCACAGCCCAGGAACTTTGCGTGCATCCTCCTGGGGCCGGGTCGCTTCCATAGTTCATTCTGAAAGAAGAAATTTGGACAGTGAGAACAGAATTTGCTCAGGTCCATTTAATGGGAAGAAAGAGGAGAACTCCTGGCATGAGAAAATTTGCTCTTGCAGTGACCCAACTTTTCTTTTCCCGGCCCCTCTCTTTTCTGTCCACTCCCTGCAGTTGAGGCTGCTAAAGAAGGAAAACGGGCTCAGAGCTGCCCAGAATTCAAAATGAGCCAATTGGGAATGTATGCCCCCTCCTTTTTACTTTCGTGAATAACACAAAGAATATCGTTTCTTGAAAAATTAGTTCCTAATTGTATTTCCTGAAGATAAAAATAATAATGGCAGAGCTGAGCCCAGTGTTGAGCTTTCTTTCTTTTTTTTTGTTTGAGGTCAGTGAATGATGTTTGTAAGACAGGAAAAGAAGAATATTTCAAAACCTCTCTAGGAGGGTGAATGCCTTTAGAAGCCTTTGCTCAGGGATCCCGGCTTTAGAACCAGCCACATCTCCAGAAAGATCTCTTGCCACCTGCTTGCTGTTAGGCAGCTCTAGAACCAGAAGATGGTAGGTGAGGAGAGGACTGGTGGTGAAAGATGGACGAACATTGTGTCCTACTGTTTGTGACCCCATGGACTGTAGCCCGCCAGACTCCTCTGTCCGTGGAATTCTCCAGGCAGTAATGTTAGAGTGGGAGCCATTCCCTTCTCCAGGGGATCTTCCCAACCCAGGGATCGAACCCAGGTCTCTTGCTTTGCAGGCAGATTCTTTACTGTCTGAGCCACGAGGGCAACAAGCCCCTTGCCTGGCCACTCCTTTACAAAACACAGATCTGATGCTATCACTTGTTTACCTAAAACTCTCTTGCTTGCTTTTTGCCATAGGATGAATGAAGCCCAAAATGCCTTAACAAGTCATACAAGGCCCTTGACAGCCTTACTTACTCTTTTATTTTTAGATTAATCCTTCAATTCTCCTTCCCTTCATCCCCTTCTCTGGTCATTTAGAATTGCTTGCCTGCCTCTTTTCACATTTGGATGCTTTTGCTTGCTCTTTCTTCCACATCTTTACCTGCTGAGCTCCACCTCTTTAAAGCCCTTTTCAGTTGAGAGGCTTGACGAGGGTAGGAGCTGTGTCTTGTTCAGCTGTTTATCTCCCATGTTGAGAGCTTCTTCCTCCCAATTGTCTTATAGGTCCTGTCCCATCTCTTCCTCTTATGTTTACTTCCAGGTACCCACTTCCTGAGAGAATCTTTCTTGAGAGTTTCCTGCTTGGCATGCAGCCAGGCAGATAGTATGTTGAAGCTAGGACTTTTAGTACCTTGATTCCCCATCTACTCATGTCCGTCCAATCTAGCCCCATAAGTAATTAGCAGGTAGGAACTGACAGGTCTCATATCCCACTGGCCTTCAATCTGCTCCACTGTCTCTGAAAGGCCAAAAGCCCCATGGTCTCTTTTTCACCTCTGCCTATCTGAAGTGCCGTGCCTAATGGATACTCTGAGGCAGAGTGTTGTTCACTGGGTACGTTTTAGATGCTGGTTTACCATCTCGGTGAGATCCAGAACCAGAAAAGCCAATTCTCTGACTGAACTACATTCATGGTGTTCTATTTGCCAGACGAAGTGCTTTGGATACAGAATGAGGAGGTCACATCTTTACCTTTGAGGGGCTCACAGCTTAAAGCAGGACAGGTGGATACAAATACTTGTCACAGATACTGTGAGGGTGTGATAATACCTTTTATTTGCCTTGTGTTAGGCTAGATAATAAATGCCTAACTCCTTTCTACCCTCTAATGGTGGCTAATTCCTACTAGACAAAGATGGAAACTGAGCCCATACAGTATGCTGATGAAGGAATAATCAGGATCTGAATCTTGGCAGTCTAGTTCCAGAGTATCTACCTGGCTGTATAGACAGCATTCCTTCTCTGGGTGGCCTGAAAAAACTTGACTGGGAGGAGGCCTTGGGTCATGAAGGATGGATAGGAGTTTATGTATGGTGGACAAGATACAGGCAAGAGGGAACAGAACAGGCAGGCTTGGAGGTGGAAGGAATCCATTGCCCTTGGGGAACAAGGAGAGGTTAAACATAGTTGAATTGGGTAGAGAGAAGGGTGGGAGATGAGATTAGGTCAGCTTGAAGGGCTGTGAGTGCTATGTTTAAGTTTGGGTGTGCATGCTCAGCCGTGTCCAACTCTTTGCAGCTTCATGGACTGTAGCCCACCAGGCTTCTCTGTTTATGGAATTTTCCAGGCAAGAATATTGGAGTGGGATTTCATTTCCTACTCCAAGGGATCTTCCTGACCCAGGAACTGAACCCACATCTGCTGCATCTCCTGCATTGGCAGGTGGGTTCTTTACCACTGAGCCACGTGGGAACCCCCAAAATTTGGGCAGTGCAGGCTTTAAAGGAGGATTTTAGAGGCGGTCAGGGACTTGAGCAGACCAGGCTTTGGAAAAGTCACTCAGGGGCAGTGTGGGGCCAGATGCTCACGGCCTTCCAATTTAAGAGGCAACGGCCAGGCCGCACAGAGGCAGAATCATGGCCTCTTAAACCCAGGGTGAGGTCCATAGAGAAGACTGCAGAGTTTTGAGAAAAAGATAATACTTAGGAGAAAAATTTAAGCCATTTGAAAGTATGTAATAGAGAAATATCTTCTTTCTACCTGACCTCCCCAGAGATGGTTGAAGTTTAGAGTGCATGCTAAGTCGCTTCAGTCGTGCCTGACTCTTTGCGACTCTGTGGACTAGCCCGCCAGACTCCTCTGTCCATGGGATTCTCCAGGCAAGAATATTGGAGTGGGTTGCTATGTCCCCCTCCAGGGGATCTTCTGGACCCAGGGATCGAACTTGCGTCTCCTGCTTTGCAGGTAGATTCTTAACCTCTGAGCCACCAGGGAAGCCCATTGTGCTTATTTATCCTGTCTCTAAAGATGTGAATGAAACTCAAATGAATCTTTATCAGGGTATATATCAGGATTGCCTGGGATGCTTTTCCACATGCTTTCCCTCACCTAACCTTCTCCCCTGATTTAATTTTATCCTGTTTCTTTCAGTTTGCAGAGGGAGACATTGAGTCTCAGAAGGATAGAGTGCCTTGTGCAAGATGGTGGGTGGTGGTGGTTTTTTTAAGCAGCCTTGTTATTTGTATTTGCCCAGCATCTTTCACTGGAAGTTCTCAGAGTTGATTTGTAAACATTGTTGCATTGTTTTTCTCCACCTTCATGTGGAAAAAATGAGGTCCAGTGAAGTTTATGGGAGAGTTGACTCATTGGAAAAGACCCTGATGCTGGGAGGGATTGGGGGCAGGAGGAGAAGGGGACGACAGAGGATGAGATGGTTGGATGACATCACCAATTTTATGGACATGGGTTTGAGTAAACTCTGGGAGTTGGTGATGGCCAGAGAGGTCTGGCGTGCTGCGAATCATGGGGTTGCAAAGAGTCGGACATGACTGAGCAACTGAACTGAACTGAACTGAAGCTTAAGTTTTAAGCGAGAATTTGGCCAAATGTAGAGCCTTGTCTTTTTACTTCTTAACAAATGCCAAATCCGAAGAAATTTTTTTAGTGACTCTGAGTACAACAAAAGTAGCAATACTGTAACACTAACAATATAATTGAGCAACAAACCCATAAATAACCCAACATTAAAATTTATTTTAATATATTCTCTATAGAAAAGAGAATCCATTAAATATGAAACTGTATGTACTTTAAATTCACATCTATTTGTATAGGCATAGATTTTTTTTTATAGTTATTACCTTGCATAGGCGTAGATTTTTTTTTTAATAGTTATTACCTTTTATCTGTACTTGGTAGGTAAAGTATATGCAGAATATGATTTTTGTATTTTTTTGGTAATTTATTGATTTTTATTTTTGATTCTTCTAGGTCTTCATTGCTGGGTGTGGTCTTTCTCTAGTTGCAGAGAGTGGGGGCTGCTCTCTAGTTGCAGTGCGAAAGCTTCTTGTAGTGGTTTCTCTTGTTCCAGAGCATGGCTATGGGGTGCAAGAACTTAGTAGTTGCAATGGATTCTTAACCCCTGGACCACCAGGGAAGCCCTGATTTTTGTATTTTTGAAAAACATTAAACTCTTGACTCATTTTATTTATTATTTTAAATCACAAAATAGTCTATGCACTGATAACTATAGTTTGTACAACTGTTTTTTATTTTCCTTTTTTCTCTCCTTTTAACTATTATAAATGGTACTTCTGAGCACCCCTGAAACACTTCTGGATTATTTTCTTGGATTCTTTCCCTAAAATGGGCTCACTGTATCAGAATATGATTTAATTGCCAAATTGGTGTCTAGAAGGGTTGAACTAGTTTACAGCACCATTAACAATTTATGTGGCTCTATATCCTGACAGTATAACCAGTGCTATTAAATATAACCTAAAAATCAATTTTGTTAATTAAAAAAAAGTAATAGTACTTTGAATTAGGTTTAATGTACATTTCTTCAGAAAACTTTAGGAAACTAAATGAGCTTTAATAGCTCATTTAGATTTTGAATTAGCTATTGTACTGTGATATATATCATATCCAACAGTTATGTAGCTAAAGCCAACTTGTTTTTGAAGGACATAGTTTATGACAGAAATATTGAGGAAATTTAGGATAAGATCATATTAGTATGAAATAGAAAACTGGGTGCTATTCAGTAGAAAATATCAGACATTGTGCTGTGAGTTAGGGATACCCAAGATTAATATGGATGTGTTTCACCTGCTAGCAAGGTAATGCTCAAAATCCTTCAAACTAGGTTTCAACAGTATGTGAATCGAGAACTTCTAGATGTATAAGCTGGATTTAGAAAAGGCAGAGGAACCAGAGATCAAATTGCCTACATCCATTGGATCATAGAAAAGCCAAGAGAATTCCAGGAAAATATC